TTTTGAACTCCTTGAACTTGTGAAAGACTTCATTTTTCTCTTTAATAATGTAGACCTTGTCTTACTGTTGTAATCATATGTGAAAGTAAGAAAGTATTTGACCCCTCCAAGAGAAATAGGAACAATTGGGCCACAAACGTCTGAATGGATTAGTTGTAGCAGTTGAGTTGATCTTCTTGTTAGCTTGCCTTTGAAGCTTTTTTTGTGTTATCTTCCAGTGAGGCATCCATTGCAAACTCTCTTAGGGGGCTTTAGCCATGGTATTCCTATTACACTGTTTCCTTTTGACATGTTTTGTAATCCTTGAAAATTCAAATGTCCAAATCTAAGTTGCCATAAAGTTGAATTATCTTCAATTTTTGCTTTAACGCATCTAGAATGGGCATGTTGATTTACTCGGAAAATTTATGGAAACATGGGATTTCTTGTCATGTTGACATTTGTGACTAATTTGTTATGTTGATCCCACAGTGAGAGGCTTGAATCCTTTATCTGAATTGAGAAGCCTTTCTCAATTAATTGACCCATGCTCAAAATATTGCTTTTCATGTCAAGCACATAATAAACATTGGAGATAAATTGATAGTCTCCATTGTTTAATTTAATGCCAATCTTTCCATCGCCTTCTATGAGTCGCTTTGTGAATTTTCGAAGGTAACACTTTGTAATTTTCATCCAGTTGTACGAACAACTCTTTTCTTCTACTTATATGGTTGCTTCCTCCAGAGTCTAGATACCATAAGCTATCTTGTTGTGCCTCGTTGTCTTTGTATGCAAGCAAATTGGTGGATCTTGTGTCCCCTTCTTTGATAGAATGGATTTTCTTTTCTTTAGTGTTGGTATTTCGATGCCAACAGTCCTTTGCGTAGAGTCCAAAAATTCCACATATTTGGCACTGTACTTGAGGTCTTCTAGATTGTTGATTTGGTTTGGGTGACTTTTTCTTTTTCTCGACCTCTTTGGGAGTTCTGCCAAGATCCTTTTCTGTTGTCTTGGGGTTGGTGTTGATTATTTTGCTGAAATCTTCCTCATCCACGGCCTGGTTGAAATTGGCCTTGGTTGGATGCTTTTGATTTAAAATTTAGCTTTGTCTGGAGAACTTGTTCAAGTGGTTTTTCTCCATCTCGTCTTGCCAATTTTTGTTCATGGGCTTGCAAGGAACCTGCGAGCTCTATGACTATTAATTCTTCCAAGTCTTTGGATTCTTCAATGGTGACGACAATATAGTCAAATTTTGGGTCTAGCATTGCACGAACATTTGTCTCTTAATTCCGTCTAAGTTGATTTACAATTACCATAAGTCTAGTATGGTAATCAAAAATTGACTTCGATGGTTTCATTTGAATTAATTTGAACTCACCTCATAGAGTTTGAAGTTGAATTTTCTTGACTTTTTCTGCACCTTTATAGGTTTGGCAGAGGAGGTTCCAAATTTCTTTCGCTATTTTTGCTTTTGGAATGATCTCGAACGTTGGTTCGTCGAGTCCTGCATGGATTGCTTCTCTTGCGGTTGAATTGTTTTTTCGTAAATTGTCAAGGAGGGTCTTTTCAGCAATTGTCAAATTGTCTTCTTTTTTTGATGGTGGCTCTGTATAGCCTTCTTCTACGAACCCATATACCCCTTTGGCTCCTAATAGCCTTCATTTTGATGCACCAATTATCATAGTTTTCTTTGGTTGGCCTCGGGATTGAGGAGGTTGAATTTGAATACGCCATGATGACTCTTTATCTTTAATTTGGAATTTGAAATTTTTCGAAAATGAATGTTGAAACTCTGACTGTACGGACGAGTCCGAAATGCTCCAAAGAGCTGGAAATCACCAGTGGATCGTTGTGATTGGACTCCGGATGACTTAGTTTTAGCCAAAATAATTTGAATGATTTAGATCTGGTACAAACTTATGCCGCGAAGCACTAGATAATTATTCTGGTCAACAATTCATGCGCCTTCTTCCCTGGGTTGCACTTGCGGCGCGTACTGAGAGTGGCGGGCGCGTGGGAACGACATAAGGCTTGTGGAGGCGCGTAAGGGCTCCTTGGAGTTAGGTTTCGAATGCGGTTTTTTCCTGTGTGACCGTCTCGACAAGGCCTACACATTGGTTTGATCAAAAGTTGATTTCGACAACTTTGATTTCTGGGCAATTCTGAAAATTACTCTGTTCTTCTTGTCTTTTGTAGAAATTTTGTAATTTCAGGCTACCTCGACTCTGATGGCTCTGATACCATTGATGGGATATGGGAATGGATCTCAATGTATTTTTTGAGAATTTAATTGAAGAACAAACACTCTGTATTTCTGAAATGAATTTGGATACATGTAGTATCTCTTTTACAAATTGAATTGATTAAATACAACAATTAATGTAATCTATTTATAGGCAAATCCTTAGGTGTGAATACCTGATGGTGGTGAACTGCAACCAACTCAATTTGCACGTTTTTCTTCTTTGCTTCATGGTGAAGCTTTGGACAGTCAACAATGGAGGGCTTCCATAGAGCTTCTCATTCCTTCTTCATGCTTCTTCATCATTCCGGTAACTCTTGGTTTGTGAATTGAGGTTTCATTTTCAACGCTGATAAGATCACTAAATTGTTTTTTTATTTCTGGAATCCAGCCAAGCTTAAATCATTTCGATCTTAAGTTATGTTTGGTTAATTATTTCGGTCTTAAGTTATGTTTGTAGGTTAAATCATTTGATCATAAGGTGAAGACTGCATCTAGATGTATTGGATAAAATCACTAGATTATTTGCTGGCCTACTACAGGATCATTGCAATTCTGCTTGAAGTTCAAACAAAGAACGAATTGTTGTCATGCCATTGTTTTCTTGGAACATACCCTCTACAAATCCATTTACGATCAGAATAAGGATATTTTTGGTACACTGACAATTTCTCCTGTGAAGGGAATGAATGTTAAAAAATGCATTTGACTAAATTGATATTAGCTACACAGAACTTCGAGCATAATACTATAATATTAGATAATGAGTCCCAACCCTTTAACCAGGTTGCTAGGTCTTTTGCTATTTCCACTCTTAATTGCATGTTGATACACATTCCTTGGAGATCAGTGTGTGCGAGAACTAACTGGAAGTGAACTGTGGCTGGTGTTGTGAAAGAGGTGTGGTGGAAATTTTGGTCCACATTGGTTGATGGATGTGTGGAGGAGATGAGTACAAATCCAGTAGTGTAGATCTACTTTTGCAAAATGGAGAACCGTTAGCGCTGCCTGAACGGGGTGTTCAGGTAGAGGGTTCTCCGATGCTTAGGTTAGAGATGAGTTGGGAGAGAATAGTAGTTGAATGATGGCTTGAGTGTGTATGATTATGTACTTGATCCCTTAAGGCCATGTTTGTTTGGGTGGACATGAGCTTGGGATTGGACTAATAGTCCAATAAAATTATTAATCCGATGTTTTGTTAAACAATTGAAGTACGGACTAATTATTTTAAACTTGAAGAGGTGTGGTGGAAATTTTGGTCCACATTGGTTGATGGATGTGTGGAGGAGATGAGTACAAATCCAGTAGTGTAGATCTACTTTTGCAAAATGGAGAACCGTTAGCGCTGCCTGAACGGGGTGTTCAGGTAGAGGGTTCTCCGATGCTTAGTTTAGAGATGAGTTGGGAGAGAATAGTAGTTGAATGATGGCTTGAGTGTGTATGATTATGTACTTGATCCCTTAAGGGTGTTGGTATGTATAGTGCTGACTAAGTACCCCCTTTTGGTAGGAGTATGGCTCAACTTAGGAACAGGCTTGTGGGACAAGTATTCCCTATCCTGGGAGTAAATATTGGGTGTAACAGTGATACCACGTGGTGGTATCACTATCCAATGAGTAATCTTACTTTGCGGTATGGACAATAATTTGGTTGGTTTAGTGGGAGACAAACTTTACCCATCTAATGGACTTTGTGGTTTTTATTGGCTAGTGATGCCATGTAGGATGGTGTCACTGTTACACTATTATTTCCTCTTGTGGTTGGTGAAGGTTTCACTATTAATAACCTTCAAATAATTAGATAGGTCGATTGTTATCTAAATAGGAGGTTGAATCCTTTCAATGATACATTCAACCCTTTGACTATGAATTGTCCACCACTAGTCCTGCTCAGTCCACGCAGGCTGATTTAGGACCCGTGTTGGCAATTACCTCCCACGAAAGTCTTTCACCTTGTTCTTGAATTTCAGATGATTTTGTGGTGAATCAGCGTTCTCTTTAGGCTTATCGGCCTGTACATCCCATTTCCATCATGTTCTAAGCATGTTGATGGCCTTTTCTTGTCTGTAGCTCTGGTGTTCATAAAATGCATACAAATCTATTTTGATCCACATAAGTTTGCATGTATGTTCAGTTGCTTGGAGTAAATCTTTCATGATACATTTATATAAATTTATTTTCAAAAAAGAATTTGTGGTACTCTACCTTTATTGCAAGTTAAGTAAAACTTTTTTTTTTTTTTTGTGCATGTCTAGAAGCAATAATCAAGCAATATTTAGACAGTCATGTTGTCACTCTTATTCTCTCTTTAACTTAATACCTGAGGTTTGTGCTGCACGTGATCCTTGTAAAAGGTAGATAAACTCTGCTATCAAGGAATGAGATTATGATATTGTGCCTTTTAAGTGTCAAGAGATCAGTTTGTTGAAATTAAAGTTTATATTCACCTCCTTTTGTAAATAAAAAGAGAAAGGGAAAAGAGGAGATCATAGGAATAAAAGAAATGGATTGTTGAAGATCATGCTTGTGCTCTTGTATAAACATCACTTGACTACAAGTTGGGAGATGTGAATATCTGAGTTGTTGCATTGGTAGCTTAAAAATGACAGTAAGGCTTGGTTAGGGAATTTTGTGGATCTTTCTTGGCTAATACTGAAGAAATATATGATAATGTGCAATGGCCAATATCAACATGAGCATGTTTCTGATAATAGAAACTTGTAACTTGCAAACTTGTCTACATGTTGAAAGTGCTAACCTACTCACTTTGTCTTCAGCTTGTGGAGACAGTTTGGACAGAAATGGATCATCTGAAGAAGAGGCTGATGGGAATAACAATTTCATCGATCCTCAAGCAGAAGACAGGGAATTGAAAGGTCAGCTTTTGCGGAGGTACAGCGGGTATTTAGGCAGTCTGAAGCAGGAGTTCATGAAGAAGAGAAAGAAAGGGAAGTTGCCTAAAGAGGCCCGGCAACAATTGCTAGACTGGTGGAGTAGACATTACAAGTGGCCATACCCATCGGTATCTCTCCAGCCTTCACCTTCAATGCCCATTAGCAAAATTACTATTTTATAATTTACTAAAGTCAGATACACATTAATGCTTTAGTTGATAATTGAGCCTCTCAATTTTGCATTTACGCTTCATCGACTATTTGTCCCTCAATTGACTTGGGTTAAACACCAAATGCTTAGCTGAATAGTTGAGCCTCTCAATTGAACTTCTAGTGATAAGACTTAAATATTTCTTGAAGTGGTGCTGCTATAGTCTAAATGTTCTTGGTTGCCCTTACTGTGATTTAAATCTCAGCTTTGAGTATTTTTGGTTGGGCTTGTAGAGTCTGATTAGTACTGTACACTTCACCATGCACAAATTGTAATAAGCGTATTACGGTAGTTTTGTTACCTTGCAAGTGTGCCCGAAATTCCATTTGAGAACTAGCTTTTCCTATCTTTACTAATTTCAAATAGAATTATGGTCTTAGTTGCGTGAAACTAATGGCAAGTATATGTAACTTAATGTGTCAACAGGAATCGCAGAAGCTGGCACTTGCTGAATCTACCGGCCTTGATCAAAAGCAAATAAACAACTGGTTCATCAACCAAAGGAAACGGCACTGGAAGCCTTCGGAAGACATGCAGTTTGTTGTCATGGACGCTACGCATCCCCACTATTACATGGACAATGTTCTCGGTAATCCCTTTCCCATGGATATCTCGCCTACGCTCCTCTGAAGACTCTGATGACGGTGGCTATATATATTGTTGAATTCAACTGAATTCTTGATCAAACCATTGTCATTCAACGTTGAATGATGTCAAGTTATGTTGTGTAATAGTAGTATCAATGTAGATGCAATCTAAATATGAATCTGAGACCATTAAATGCTAAATTTCCCTTTTTTGTATGGGTTTTTTGTTATTGTTTTTGAGGTAAATCTGGTTCTGAATTTTCTTGCCGTTCATTTTTGTAGTAGAAAAGTATTTCAATTTCAAAAACTAATTTGTTGGTAATATAATGATTTCTTTAGTGTCAATTCTTGAACTCTCTTTTCAGGAGTCATGTATTTGCTGGATATATTTTGGTTCTTTTGAAATGATTATTTTTGTATACTACTTGCCCAAAGTAAAATTGATTGCACGTCTGTTTTTAAGGACTTATTTTTTTTTTTTAAAAAAAATTGTCGTTTGTATCTATTAATGTTGAGAGGACAAATTTTCCTATGCGTGCATAAATTGACAATTTAGTTTTTTGTTTTTTTTGTTTTGTTTTGTTTTGTTTTTTTTTTCCCGACGTTTATAAATTATCGTCGCAATTTACGATTAGTAGATATATTTTGGTTCTTTTGAAATAATTATTTTTGTATACTACTTGCCCAAAGTAAAATTGATTGCACGTCTGTTTTTAAGGACTTATTTTTTAAAAAAAAAAAAATTGTCGTTTGTATCTATTAATGTTGAGAGGACAAATTTTCCTATGCGTGCATAAATTGACAATTTAGTTTTTTGTTTTTTTTGTTTTGTTTTGTTTTGTTTTTTTTTTCCCGACGTTTATAAATTATCGTCACAATTTACGATTAGTAATTTTTTTGTACTGAAGTTTTAAATTATCGTTAAAAATTAAAAATTAATAACGTTTCTTTATGATGATTTTTTAATTTGTCGTCAAAATTTAAAGTTAGTTATATTTATGTGATAATTTTTAGGCCGTCGTTGAAAATTAATAATTAGTGATTTTTTTAATAGTATTAGATGAAAAATATCATTAATTATTATAGAATTTATTAGATAATAAATATATTTATTATGACCTATACATAAGTTGTTCTTGGTTTAATTGATTTTAGTTTTGTTGGTCGAGCAATTGAAAATGACTTACTATTTAATTTTCAACCTTTTTTTTATCTGAAGCTTTTAGTTTTTGATTTTGTGGAAAAGAGATTCACAAGTGGTTTGAGTGTTCTATACAAATTTAGGTAAATGATACACATAGTTCTTATAATTTAAGTGAAATGTTATTTTAATTTTTGTAATTTTAATTTGAACTTTATATTTTTAATTTTATTACAATGTGGTTAATTTGTTACTTATTGTTAAAAGTTTGAATGGAAGTAGAAGGATCAAAGTAAAATTTCAAATAAGGACTCCAGTAATTGTTATAGTTTTTATTTTTTTTAATTTCACTTTGGTGTTTCTAGATTTATACATGATCTTTTTTTAAAATGTTAACGACACTTGATGAAGGGGTTATATTGAAACAAAATTAAAAATATAAAATTAAATTATTTAAATTAAAATTACAAAAGAATAATATAAAATTTCAATCAAATTAAAGAACCATTGATATGATATATCTTAAACTATCTTTGGTTTTTCTAGATTTATACATGATCTTTTTTTAAAATGTTAACGACACTTGATGAAGGGGTTATATTGGAACAAAATTAAAAATATAAAATTAAATTATTTAAATTAAAATTACAAAAAAATAATATAAAATTTCAATCAAATTAAAGAACCATTGATATGATATATCTTAAACTATCACATGGGCGGGCAATAAATGAAAAAAGTGTGGCAGTGGGAGTTACACTATACCTCCGTTTGAGACGTGGATTGCCTTTTTAATTTTTTAATTTTTTGGTTTGGGATTAAAAAGTTTAGTTTAGGAAGAGCTTTTTGATTTTTTTGACTTTTTTATGAGAAAAGAGTGTAATGATTATGGATTGGATTTGATATTTTATTTTTTGTGACTATTTTAACTCCTAACCCACCAAAACCAACTTCCCAAATATCTTCCGAACTTTTATTACAAAGTATGTATTACAAAATATGTATTATGAATCACGTACTTTGTAATGTTTAAAGAATCAAATGGGTTAAATAAAAGGTAAATTACACTTTACCTTTTTATATTTGGATAAATTATCAATAGGTCTTAATAGTTAGATTTAATTTTCATAAAGTCTTATTGAAAATAAGTCTTAATAAAATCGTCATTAAAAATAATTTTTTGTGATAATTTTTTACATGTTAAAAATTGACAATTAGTGACTTTTTATTATAGATTTTGTAAATTGTCCCTAAACTTTATAATTAGTGATTTTTTTTGATGAATTTTTCAAACTGTCGCTAAAACTTATAATTAGTGACATTTTTTGTAACAATTTTTTAATTAACGTTGAAAATTAACAATTAGTGATGTTTTTTAGGAGAGATGAAAATACCATGAGTTATCATATGATCTATTGGACTATAAATTCACATATTAGAATCTACATATAAGTCCTCCTTTATATTTGACCACTTTCTTACTTTAGCCCTTAGAATTTATTTTTTCTCATTTTGATTCTTTTATATTTCAAGTTTTTCCTAGTTTACTTTTAAAGTTAATTTCTGTTCAAAATTAAATAGAAAATGTCATAATAACTGTCATATAACACAAAAAATATATTATTACGTTCAAGTTTAAGTTTATATTAGATATGTGAGTTGTATATAATAAAATACTTTTATATCACGTGACTATTAATATTTTATTTTTTGTCTAATTTTTTACAAAAAATTTTGGGTAAATTATAAATACATCCCATGAGATTTACTTAAAATACAGATTGTTCCATGTGATTTGAAAAATTACAAATATCCACTTATTAGAATTTTTTATTTAACATAATTAACTAAAAAAATGAAATTCATAATTACTCTCTTATACAATAATAAAATTACCTAATTTATTAATTGAAATATATTTTTAACATCATTAAAAACTGTTAATTGATTTAATGATTTATTAATAAAAGTGGCGATTTGTTATGAAATTAGAAACCTTAAGGGGTGGAATGTAATTTTCAAAATCAAAGGGGGCGATTCGTATTTTAATCAAATCTCAAGGAGTGTATTTGTAATTTATTGAAAATTTTTTAGGAATAAACTGAGAAAAACTTAAAACATAAAGGGTCGAAGTGGGAAAAAATAAATTTTAAGGACCAAAGTAAGAAAGTGACCAAACATAAATGGACAAATGTAATTTATCCAAAATCAAATGTGTAAAATATTTTTTTTCATTGAATTTAATAATTAAAATATTATTTTTTTCAATGTTATTTAAAAGAAATAGATTAATCATTTAAATTGAAAACAAATTAAAATTTTAAAATTTATTTTTATTATAACAGTCAAATTCTAATTCTAATTCTAATTTTATTTTTGGAAAATTATCCAAATCCACAAAAATTCTCACAAAAGTACTCCTTCACAGACTCTAACCGATAAGAGTTTAGCATTATAGAGTAAGTGAATAGACTCTTACCGGTAAGAGTATACAAAGAGATACTTTTGTAAAATTATTTATGAGAATTTTACATGACTATTTATTTTTTTGAAAAATATTAAAGATTTCAAATATTTTATCAATATTTTTACAAAATATCTCATATAAATATGAGACTCTTCATATTAATATAAAATATTTAATAAAAATATTAATAAAACATTTGAGAATCCTAACATTAATCTTATTTTTTAGTTTTTCCCACATATACCACTCCTACATCATTTTCGATCGTAGAAAAGACGTGGACGAATCTTTTCTCCCATTTTAGTGGGCTCAAGGCCATTGGGCCTCATCCTTATTGAACTAAACCAAAGTGCATAGTGGCTACATTTTAATGAGACTAATGAAGGCCCACCTGTCTATTTATGGGCCTTTTCTTTTCTCTGCATTTTTTGCATTATCAATTTTGGGCTTTATATATATATATATATGGGTTTTTTTAGAGATGCTCCAAATCCTTTTTTTTTTTTGAGACCCATGACACTTAACTTTGGTCATTGGGATACCACATTACAATAAATTAAAATTTTAAAAACGAATATTTAAGAATAAAATAACTCTTAAGAAATGAAATATTTTATTATCAAAAATGTTATTATTATATTTTTAATAACGAAAGTAGACATTTATTGATAAATTATTATCCTTTTTCACATCCAAATTTTTATCTAAAAACATAAACTTTTTTGGAATCAAATTATTTTGTTTGGTACATTTATTAGCGGCATTTTCAAAATTTTGTCACTAAAATGTCTTTTTTTGATTTTTCAAAATGATCTTTTAACGACTATTTTTGCAACCCTAAATACTTTTTATAATAGAATTTTCACTTCTTAAAAGACAAAAAAAATAAAAAAATCCTAAAATTCTTATAAATTGTAGTGCCAATTGTAAAATTTTCTCAGGGTGTTCTGAATGTGCTAGATGTCTGGTACACAACTTCGTTTCAAAACACAATTATTTTTATAATAATCTTAATTATTGAAAGAAGATATTGAGGAGAATCCTATACCCTTAATTGGGGTGGATAACTTTTTGGGGTTTTGCTTTCCCTAACTAAGAATTACTTTTCCTACCAAAAAGTAACAAAAAGTTAAAACCCCAACCCAAGCAAAATTTTTTATTTTTTATTTTTTATTAGAGTAAGTTCTTTAGGTCCTGGTTGTTTTTAGAGATAGAATAGAGGAGATTGATAGTGAGGAGATTGATAGTGAGAGGATTAATAGTGAGAAATTGTTAAATTATTTTTATATAAAATAATAAAACAAATAAAAAAAATATAAAAATTAAATATTAATATTTAAAAAAAAATTCCCAATATATATAAAAAAAAAAATTCTAATCCCCTTTTGGGGGTCACCCCCTCAACCCCCCTTTGCCACGTGGCGGGTGGTGATTGGAGGAGCAGGAAAAAAAAAGAAAAGAAAAAGAAAATGTAACTAATGAGAGAAAGAAGGGGTCAAAGGGGGTGGGAGAAAAGGGGGGATGAATCATTGTTGTTTTCTAATACCATCTCTATCTCCTCACTATGAATCCCCCTTCCAAGGGTATTAGTAATACTAAGGTATTAGTAGTCCTAAGGCCATCTCTCAAAACAAACAAGGTATTGGTAATACCAAGGTATTAGTAGTCCCAATCCCCTTCCTATAACTCCAAACAAACGGGGCCTTAGGGGTTTCAATCACAAAACTCTCACAAAGT